TAATATCCTGCATTATTATGAATGTATAATTTTTTTACTTCATCTTATTACAAGCGGTTTTAAAATGATTAAAAAACGTAATCACTCCAATACAATTACAAAATTAACATCTACAAAGCTCGTAAAATTAAATTAAATTAATTTTAAATTATTTCGCACAACTTCGATAAGTATTGTTACATTTATTTAATTTAACTTTTTAACTATATGTACAAGTTATTTTTTCGATACAATAAAAACAATTAGTGGGTACATGTCCCGTTAATTGGATGTTGTTCGGACTTTTTCAAATATAATTACGTACAATGTATTACAAAAATAAATTAAGACAACAAAATACATACGGATATATAAAGATGAAAATGACTTATTTCTGTTAATTTCAAGTGCTCTACGGCATCAGTTCGGCTCAATTTACTGTGTAAGTTATTTCTGAATTTTATCAAGTCAGTTATACTTTGACAGTCTGTAACAATACCTAGTTTTTAGTATCTTTAAAAGTTGCGAGTGTTCTGAGTGACCTTTATACATACAGTAGTAATTTAAAAAGAAAACAAGCAGCATCATCTTGCACGATCATTATGATAACAGCGTGTTAAGAGAAATGAACTAAACAATTTCCTTCCAAATTACTTGCCGCTTTTATATACCTCTTGCATCATAAACGTCGAAGTTCTACAGAAATGAAATTGTTTTGTGCCTTTCTTCTGGCATTAGTTATTACAACTAAAAGCAGCTCCGGTAAGTTAATTTTTGTTTTAATTCAGTTAAATTTATTTGACATTTTTACAAATATACGCAGTTGGGAATGAAGGGGATTCGTCCGAACAGGATGACGGTCTTCCAGGACGAGAGGCGTTAAATAACTTCCCACTAATTGATGGGTAAGTAGATCTTTTGAGTACATAATACACAATAGAAATTTATCTAGGAGATAAAAACAATTGGTATATTTGGTTTGAAAATTTTAACTAGATACTCGAAGTTTTTCTTGAGTATTCTATTCTATGTGGGGAAATCCGAAAAGCGTTTCAATTGAGAATGCAAATTGTTTCTTTTAATATGCAAGAACTCCATATTTATGTAGATAAAAAAAAGAGTATTTTTTGTTCAATATCTTAGATGATCCAGAGAACACTTTTGGGTTGGAAGAAAAAGAATTCCTATTGGTTTTGGAGCATTTAACTGCAGGTATGAAGCACTTACGAGATAACAATTTAGTACACAGAGATCTAAAGCCTGGAAATATAATGAAATTTATAAATGATGATGG